GGGCGAGAGAGCTTATCCTGCGTGTTGATATTATTGACAGGGTGTCAGCTTGATTGGTTGGGGGCCACTTGTGCCACGCCCACACCTAATCGAGAGTGCCAAACAGGAGCAGGAGCAGGAGCTGCTCGTGTGACTAATTGCTGCCTAATGACCATCACTCCAACCAAGGCTGATCTGTGTAATTGTCGATTGCCCGATTGCCTGTCGAATTTCTGCTGTTTAAACTCGAAACTTCAACTTAAAGCCAATCTTTTGGCTCTGCTCTGCTCTCTGCTCCCGGATTAGGGCGTGTTTCCTTGCATTTATGTTGTGAAAAGACTTCGCAGACACAAAATTAATCTCCGTAGGTCTGCTGTGGACCCCACTTGGGTCCATTGTTGTGCCGGCCACCTGTGCGACTCTCCATTGTGGGACTCAGCCACGCTAAGCTGATTTGCTACAATTCGCGACTCGTTGAGGGGCACCACAATTCACCTCTTGAATACAACATTTTAATTAACTGTGCCACCAGCTAAGCGGCTCAGACCACTGTTCCTGGCCTTTCTGCCAATCACTTCTGTTAACCCGAAGAAACTTTGATGTGCTGCGATCTGTGCTGGCAATAGGCACTTGACAAACTTATTAACAGTTTCGCTCTGCCCAATACATCAATGGGGCCGTACATCATCCGAAACATGGTTCATTTGGCTGACCGAAAAGGAAAACTACGAAAAGTCACACAACATTAACTTGAACTATGGCAAACTTTTGACTCTGACAAAGATGCCAGATGCAGCAGCCAGCCCCGGACAGCAACTCGTCGAAGTTTTTCAAAGCTATTTTTGACTGCGGTCAACTAAACACACACAAAGCAGATAGAGGGGGATAGGGCCCCGCAGGGAGGGCAGGCAAAGCCCAAACAAAACTGTCGCCAAAGACGAACTTCAGCTGGATGCGGTCGGATTCAATTAGATGTTGCCAGACCGAAACCGAAACGGAACAAGAACAAGAATAAGAAAAAGCAACCTAAACCTAAGCCAAGTCTCGATGCAAAGTTGAAAGCAAGCAACAAAATCTGCGGCATACCCAGAGATAATTCGGGAATATTTTCTAGCAAATTCTGTTGCAAAGTTGCAAATAGTCATGGATGGGTCGAAGAGAATGTTGCTGAGTAGAGGAGCATACCCTGTGCCATCTGGGCATGCAAACACGTAGCAAAGAAAAGTCAAGACAAGTTTGATTAGAAGGCGTTGCCGTCCTGCCAAGACATCGGTCAGTTTAGCCAGGAAAAAGCATCCAAATGACATCCTCCAAAGCCAGGGCCTGTTGCCACTGTGCACATTTGCATTTGCATTTGCATTTGCATGCCTCGTGCCCGGAGGCGCCGTCATCGCCATCGTGGCGCATTATTAAAGATGCATGGCTTGAAATATTCAATCAGATTTGAGGGGCAGCTGGATAGGGCGTCTCCAGTAGTGCCACAAAACTGGCAACACAGTCTCGGTGCTGGTCTGGTCTCTAGCAAATATTTTGTGGCTATTGCCATGCTTTGCTCCCATGTGCATATCCTGCAGGCATTCAATTATGTTGTAGCCCAGGAGTGCCCAGCCGAATGGCAAGCAATTTCCATGGCCAACTCGGAGTCAAACACTTCCTGAATGTCACTCAGCGTGCAGAGTTCTCTCCCTCTCTCTGTGTATGTGTGTGCGAGTTAATTTGTTATTCAAATTTGTGTGTTATATATTGTTATTACGATGAAAATTGCTGTTGCTGTTGCAGACTTTGCCCTGCAGCCAACGGGTTGCAAAGTACACGGAAAACATGGATCCAGGATCAATACTTTTGGACGGGCGCTGGCTCTAGTCTTGGCTTATTCTGATACTAATTCAAGGTGGATTGCACTTCCCCTGTTAATCCTAATCTTAATTCATTTGCTGTGCATTTAGTGAACAATTGAAAGCGAGCATTACGAGCCCCCAGTGGAAACCCTACAACTATCAGGGATTAAGGCTTGACCGTCTGGTCAAGTGTCTGGACTCCGTCTCCGTCTTCCCAGCTGATTCATTGGGTTGTGGATGGGTCTGGCTGTTGTCTAGTCTGTCAACCCCCAGGAGGAAGCGCTAAGCGGATTAATTTGTTGACGTGTTGCTCAATTGCAGAACGAGCGAGGAACGAAAGAGGAAAAGGAAAAGGAAAATAGAGGGAAAATCCAATCATAATTATAGAGTCCAACGCCTTGGGTCGATGGAATTTACACAACAAAAGCTGGCCGCGACATTTTCAGCTGTCAGCGTTAATTGAAATGTTTTCAGACATCACATTCCCATGCAGACAGACGGCAGAGTTCTAACAACACCTTTCTGGGCCAGCCAGAGCGGAAATGTCTCCCCAGAATCCCGACCAGGCATCACTGTGCGTGTTTTTGGCTTCTGTTCCGCTGAGATTTATTCTGTGAATTATGTTTCTAAATATTTTTACCACATTTCGTTTATCTTTTTGACATTTGCGCATAATTAAAAAGCAATTAAAGCGCCAGTAAATAATAGAATAATGCACAAAATGATAGATAACAAAAAACTGCACCACTTTTTGCCACAGCCAACGACCAGCCCCGCTGGGGACATTAAAGTTGCATGCCAATAAAAGTGTTAAGCCCCGAAACTTTTGGGTGAGAAGTTTTCAGCAAAGGCGGGGGAAGGGCAGTGTCATGTCAAGGGGTCGACAGGTTAAACGACGAACCGAGTCGACTGTCAATATATAATTGAAAATGCGAGCCCCTCGGCTCTTGTGCCTTTTTTTTCCAGTGTCGCTTTTCGGGGGTAATTAAAAAAGTTTTGCCCCATTGAAAAAATAGAAGGAAAATACAGAAGAATTGACAATGGCTTTTGTTAGCCATGGAGAATAATAATTGTCGAGTGGGCAAAAACACTTCCCCGGCTGACGTAATTAAAAAGCCGTCAAGCGAAGTTGGCGCAGTTTGTGCTCAATGTCCAATTGATGCACAGGCCAGAGCCGTTAGCTGCACTCGCACTTGGCCCTCTGTCTGCCAGCCAGGGTCTGCTTCTAATTAAATAAGCCAGCGTCACATTTGTCTTGAGTGTCCGGCAATTCGGTGACTTATGATGACAAAAACCCGGGCATCCACCGCACAGCACGGGCCAAGGAGGAGATTTATGAGGTAAAAGCAATTAGAAAGTGGCATTAACAAGCGAGTGCAGCCGAGAACAATTAATAACAGTCACCAACTGCAGTGCTGGGTCAAAGCCCAAGACACGAAAAGAAAGCAGAAGCTCCGATAAGTTTCAGCATAAAATTCTTTTGGTGGCACTCTTCACAATTTATTTGCAACGAAAGAACATTTAATTATGAGCCAACTAGCAGAGGGCAAAATCCCCAGTGGCATTTGCATCCGACTTGCTATCGCTCTGGGAGGCTTGCAGAACGCCCAGCAATATCTCCACCTCGGACTTGATGAAATCCATTTGTTTCTCCACGTCATTACGAGATGCAGAGGGTTGGATATCTGCGTGGAGTTCAGCGAGATCAAAGTTTATTTGGTAAGATCATGCACCTACCACGACGACGGCAGAGTGTGCGGTAGAGGACATTGACCCCGTCCAGACTGCGCTCCTTGTCCATGTAGCTGTGGGTTATGGTATCCTTGGTGGTGGCCAGAATGCCCTCCCACTTCAGGCACAGGCTGCGCGACTGGTTGTACGAGCGCTCCAGCTTGGCCAAATCATTCTTGAGGCCCAGCACCGTGAGGGCAGCCTCGTTCGTCACCTTCACCATTCGCTTGCGCATTGCCTCGATTTCCTGGAGCTTCTGCTGCTCCAACTGGCTGATTTCAAGCTGTGCAAGCACTACAAGAAACAACAGGAATAATTCTGAGCTCAACCCATCATCGCGTTCACTCACTTAGCGCATCGCAGCGATCCATGCAGTCCTTGGGCGAGACGAATATGTCGGAGACCTTGACCACCTCGTCCAGAACCTTCTCGTAGGGCTGGAACTCCTGAACGGTGGCCTTGAGCGCCTCACGGAATGCCTTCAGCTCGTCTATCGAGCCCTTGAAGTTCCGTATGCCCTCGCTGAGTTCGCCGTGAAGGACAATCTCATCGTTGATGGTCTTGTCCGCCGCCCGCTTCTTGTCCACGCAGTCCTTGATGAAGCTGTTCACCTCGATGAAGCGCTTCCTGAGTCGCTCCTGGATCTTGTACATCTTTCGCACACGGGAAGAGTTCAGTTCCGTCTGCCGCTTGGCACTGGCCAGCATCTCCGTCTGCAGCTTGGTCATCGCGTCATGCTCCCGATGATTCTGAATGAACAACAGCTCAATGGAGTCCCCGGCAGAGTCGGAGTTTGGCGGTTTGCTGTTCTTCAATCGAGTTTTAAGCGAGTGGAGCAGGAGGAGGAGGAAGGTGATGAGAACTTACACAAAGAACTTGTCCTGCATCTTGGAGTTGAGGTAGTCCCCGACTGCATCCTCGGGCCGCAGGTCCAAGTTGCCCAGCACATCGAGCTTCTTGGTGGGCTTAACGCGCGGCATCTTCGAGCCTTTGACCGAATGCCCTGACTATAAAATGTTTCAAAGAAATGTATAGGCTAATAATTTGGTGAGTTTCTGTTTGCTGCTTGCTTGGAGCTGTGTTTTACTATTGTAACAGAAAGTGCGCGACCTACTTGGAACATTATTTTACCTGGCTGAAACAAAGAAAACATTCCGTTGCCTGGAGGAGCGAACAACATCAAATCTCCAAGGAAATAGTTGCCAAGGGCGTGGAAATTGCACAAAGAAAACGTGGAGGAACGTAGTGAGAAGCGCTTGAACGCGGCATAACTTGATCAGCATATTTTCGCACTTTTTGCTGGCTGATTCTAATTCATTTGAGAATTACTTTACAATCAAACAGTAGGCGCAACAGGAGTTGTCTTCCACAGTCTAACAGTGGCCCAAAACCTATACGAGAAGCACATTCTCCATACAGCAGAGATAGATTATTATATATTTTGAAAGGAATTATTATATAAAACACGAGAATGCCGCGCCAAAAGCCCACAACCACAATCGATGTGGTGGGGAACTTGGATCTGCGTCCCGAGCAGGCCGTTGGCGACTATCGCGCCTCTCGCCAGCAGGACAAATACTTTGTGTAAGTTAATTAATAAGCCAATAAGCAGCTCTTACCTAATAATACCGAATGGCAAACCTTAGCAAACCTCCCAACTGGGACTCGGCTGGAGATTCGATTGAGTTGCTCTACACACAAAATCTTCGCGAGAACAATGCGATGAAGGAGCTGCAGCAGGAGATGCTTCAAAATGCAAAGCGCCAGTCCCAGGTCGGCAATCAGCGCATTCGGAAGATGTACAGGATGCAGGAGAGACTCAGGAAGCGCTTCATCGAGGTGAACAGCTTCTTCAAGGACTGCGTGGACAAGAAGCAGGCAGCGGACAAGGTCATACAGCAGCAGCGGGAACTGCACGTGGAGCTGAACAAGGGAATCGATTCCTTCAAGAGCTCCATTGCCGTGCTGAAGGCATTCCGCACTGATCTTCAGGCCACGGTGGCCGAGTTTCAGCCCTACGAGTGCGTCCTTCAGGACATAGTAAAAGTTTCCGATATCTTTGTGACACCCAAGGACTGCATCGATCGCTGCGATGCACTCAGTAAGTCATTTACACAGAAGCCCATTCAATGTATCTTGTTCTTGTTCCAGTGCTTGCCCAGGTGGAGATCAGCCAACTGCAGAGCCAGAAAATAGAGGAAATCAAGCAGATGCGTCAGCAAATGTTACATGTGACCAGCAAGGCGGCCCTCACCGTGCTGGGCCTCAAGACCGATTTGGGCAGACTGGAGCGTTCGTACAACCAGGCGAGTCAGATGTGCCTCAAGTGGGAGAAGATTCTGAGCAGCTGCAAGGACGTCATAGCCAACAACAATCTGGACAAGGAACGATCCATCGACTGCATCGTCACCCTGTATAAAATGCTGTGCAAGCGGCGGGGTGAGTGGAAATAATTATCACTCTGGACTGTGAGCTGGACATTCCATTACTCAGACATAAAGCCCAGTCTACGTACCTATGAGCTGCCCCTTATACTGGACTTTATCAAACGGGAGTTGAGTCTCTGGAACGACGTTATTCGGGAGATTGAAGCTGCGCCCAAGGCCAACAAGAGCGATGCCGTGGATCTCGAAGGAGCTTTATGCTGATGGAGTAATGATTAGTTATTGGTTGGATATATTCATGTTCTGTTGGTTAAATATAAATAAGACTTAAAGACATTATCAAGAGTGGAGAGCCAGTCAGTTATCAATGTGCGGAAGATGTTCAAAAGAGCAGCGCTAGCGGGGCAGCAGCACTGTTAACAGTTCAATTTAACAGCCTGCTCCCCCCGCTAACAGACAGTAACCAACCGGTATACAGTACTGTTCGAAAGAGCAGCGCTAGCGTGGCAGCAGCACTGTTAACAGCCCAGTTTAACAGCCTGCTCTCCCCGTTAACAGACAGTAACCAACCGGCTACAGTACTGTTCCAAAGAGCAGCGCTAGCGGGGCAGCAGCACTGTTAACAGTTCAATTTAACAGCCTGCTCTCCCCGTTAACAGACAGTAACGAACCGGCTACAGTACTGTTCAAAAGAGCAGCGCTAGCGGGGCAGCAACACTGTTAACAGCCCAGTTTAACAGCCTGCTCTCCCCGTTAACAGACAGTAACAGCGCTGTTAGCTCACCCATCTACATTGCTGTTATCGCTCTCCAGCAGCGCTCTGAGAGTGAGCACGCGCTTGCTCTCACGATCATTACGGTACGAGAGCGGGCTTAGCTCCATTATGGTTTCCACCCCCGCTTGGGAGCAGCCGTGCGCTTTCATAACGGGAATACTTATGCTCACCGAATACATACACACTGGCGCTGCTTACATTTGGATTACATCAGCAGCAGCAGCAGCTGTTCAATACCAAACGCTTTTTGGGGTTATCAACACTCAGGATCGAAAAGGCGTCCCACATTATCCATGCCCAACCCAAAACACAGTTAATGGACACATGTACCCTCCTCCATTCAGGACCACCTCCATTCTGCCTGCTTCTTGATAGCACTAAAACATTTGTCTAACCCAAAACCCTGGCCACTCCCAGGCCCCCAGCCGCCACACGCAGACAAAGACATTGAAATGGTTGTGGCCTAAGCCCAAGGAAAATCAAATGAAACTGGATAAAAGAAAAGGAAAATGCATACAACGACAGATACTCGAGGAGCGTTTGCCCTCACAGATTTTTCAAGTGGCTGTCGATAACAGTGAGGGGGGGGGGGATGGGCAGGAAAGTGGAGCTGCAAAATCGAATCTGTGACATCTTTTCATTCAATTGGCAATTGGATTCTATGGTCCAGGGATAATCCAACTTAAGCACAGATAATTCTTTTATGCGAACATTTTGATTTCTGTGCTCCTCCGCCTCCGCCAACTAATTTTTTATACTCCATCCGCTGCCACGCCCTTTCCTATTTCTATGCCCATTTCCACAGTCCGAACCGAACTTTGGATGCTCCCACAGTTTCCAGAGTTTCCACAGTTTCCACAGTTTCCACAGTTGCTGGCTGTGGGAGGCGTGGCACTTGTCTTTTATTCAATTTGCTTTATTTGATTTGTGATTTTTGCTGAAATCAGCTGGAAAAGGAACTCCCAGAAGCAGGAGTCGGTCGTAGACCTAGGCAGGAAATCAAATCAAATGGAAAAGCAAAATAAAATCCAAGTACATTTATTTTCAACAAAAAGAATACTCGAAAAAGAAATCTAGAAACTAGTTTGCCAAAGTCAACATTGGGTTTATTTAAATGGACCGTGTGGACGGCCCACATGCCTGCGGGGTTTTCCCTCTTTTTTTTTGTATCGTATTTGGGGGTTTTTGCTGCTCCTTCGACAGCAATTACATTAAGTTGCTCCACGTCCTGTGTCAACACTTAAGCATGTTGCAGAATGTCATTTAAATAATTGACAAGTGCATTTCATTCGTATTTGGCTGGGGCTGTCTGGTGATTGAAGTGCTTGCGAATGGAAAGAAATGAGTAGAATAATTCCCGACAACTAGGCAGACCCCAATCCCCACTGCTGTCCTGTCGGAATAAAGCCTAATGGCATTCCCAGCTAATCTCTTAATTGCATTACAATTACCAGTCTGCGAATTAAATAATATTACTAGCCAAGCCTGGCAGTGGGCGGTTACAGAAATTGTTACTTTTTCGGGGCATTGATGCAGGCAAAGTGTGGAGCCAGAGTTCTACATTTGTCAGTTGAATATTGTTCAGCAATTATTCCATTTAGAACTTCTGCAACTGCTCCCCCGCTTTGCTTTTTTTCTGCCTAGTGGACGCAACACTTAATTTAACTTTACAAGTTCTTAATGTGACGGCCAGACGGCTTTACTTCTCTCTGTGTGGAAGGACACACTGAAGGACACTGCGACAAATAGCAATTAGAGAAACAATGCAAGAAAATGGCAAGCAAAGCAAAAGACGAGCAACCCAGGAGCACAAGGAGCACTTTCCACGGCGCCTACTTTGGAGGCTTTAAGTCCTTCGGCTCCCAGGGGTAACTGCAATAAATGTCAAGCGATTACCTCAAAGGAGAGCAGCAACCAAAAGGCAGGGCAGGGCAGGGCAACCGGTTGATTAATACTATAACACATGATTTATTATGCCTGTCAATCGACGAAGGGGAAGCCCATTATGAAAGCTCAGAGCTTCAGAGATTGAAATCGGAATCAGAATCACAATCAGAGGCAGTCAAAAGCGGACACGGAGACACGGGGAGAGAGAATCAAAAGCCTTGTGCCTGGGATGCGATGGGATGGGATGGGATGGGCCTGTGATAAGATGGCAAATCGGCTTATGCCTTGGGACAACAACAATCGGCATCATCAATTCACTTGGCGACATTAATATCCTCCAGGACAGGCTCCAAGAGCAGTCGTCTGACATTTGTGACACCTGCATTGATTTGTCCTTCCTTTTTGTTGTGCTCCTTCGGGCGGGGGATTATGGAGCTGGAGCTGGAGCTGGAGCTGGAGCTGGAGAGGCAACCACCTGGCCCTGACTGACTGAGTGCCTTTCATGTCTTACAAATGCCTTTTTTATGCGCTAATGTTGCTGTGGCTTCTTCGACACAACTCCAAGTTCTCCCCGAGACCCATTAGGGCCGACTTCTAATGGCCTGGCGACAAGGCCCCGCAATTAGAGCGCACAGAAAGTTAACTACCAGCCGAGAGCAGAAGGACTTTTGCCACCTCACACACAACGAGAAGTACAAGCAGAAGTAGTTGATAATTTATTCATGTGCCAGCCAGAATGCCAACATTTATGGACCCATTTCTGGGCCTGTCTCTATGTGTGTGCCGAAAGTTAACCGCACACATGCAGGGCGGACATTTAGGCAGCAGCCACCCTTAACGGCTTCATTAGAGCCACCAGAAACAACCCCTAGGCAGTTGGGAATTTTTTAATTTTATTTGATTGAGCGTGTGGAAATCAACAGCTTAAATAGTTGACAAAATATGTGCCAAACATCTGCGGCATTGTTCCCGAAATCCCGAATCTCCTTTGGCACAACTGTTTGGAAAAGTGAATTCGAAATTGGAATTGTACATTTTAAACACTTATCAGCGGGCATTTGTTCGCCGCCTTTTGCTCTCCTGATTACAATTTGCATAAAAATATCATTCCGCTTGAAGGCCCTCAGAATTACGTTGGAGTTTTATGGCCCCCGAAACGAATCGAATCGATTTGAATTGAACCCAACCCGAAACGGAAGTCGTCTATCGTTCTCCTTTGTTGGTGTCTCCGCAGAAAGGGTTCAGCTGGATATTAGGAGTGGATTTATTACGCCTAATGATTGTCAGTTAGAAGTTTGGGCAGCATGCCAGATTGCATCTTCGGCCCTCTTTGTGTTCAATATAATTTCCCTAAATTTACTAAACTAAACTTAAAGCTGATTCAAGCCACTCCAGACCACAACAGAGCAGCGCAGTGTAAATATTTACAAATATTGACAGCTTAAAGTGAAGTTTATAAGTGACACGCGGCAGACACCACCACCACCCCTCGATGGGGATGCTTTTTAGGTGGCAGCAACAGCACTTGTGGTCAGACCGGAAAGCCTCTTTGATGGTTTGGCAGTGGAAATGGGAGCTGTGTAATGAAGTTCGCTCCTTGAAGCTGTCAGATGGATGGCGGTGGGGCATGACTTGGTGAAAATATTGACAAAGCAATTTGCTTGTCAGACAATTAAGTGCTTAATTGTATGAATGTATGGCCCGCGGCGGATATAATAAGATACAAACTGTGCGCAGGGGGAAGACAGAGGCAGAGTCAGAGGCAGAGTCAGGGCCTCAAACCGGAAGTTGTTTAGGTTTAAATCTACTCCCAGTCCCCCCACAGCCAATAAACCAATCCAAAGTGACGCAGGATTTATGGGACGGATTCTGTTATATCTTCAGACAAGTGAAGCAATAATCACAGGGCTCATAAATCTCAAGTGCTGCTACCCAGAGCGAGCGAGTGCCAGGCATAGGCGGTCATTTTTAATACAACTCCGAGAGATATGCCGCTGGAGTGTCACAGGCCAGACGACACTGCTTGACACTTTGTCACAAAACGAAACAACGTCGAGTGCCATGCCAGGCAAAAGTGTAAATGTACGAATATGTACGAATATGTAGGAATATGTAAATATGTATGTACGATTATGTATGCTCGTATCAGGTGCATTATGGCAGTCCTGTCCAGTCAAGGACCAACTGCCATTTGCATACGCAGTGATGGGAGGGCAAGATGTGGCTGGGCCACCAGAAGGGTCCAGTCGAGTCGAGTCGAGTCGAGTCGAGTGTGCACTCAGCTTAACTGGCACTAAGTGGACTGCATCGCGATGCCAGATAGCTGCATTAGGAGCCATCAAAACGCCATTCAGATCGCATAGAAAAGCGTAATCAAGTCGCCCTCAAGTCCTGCTCCTTCCAAAACATGAAACGGGGTCAGGCAAATAAAAAAAGCAAAAGCAAAAGCAAAGGTATGGCAATGCAGAGCAGAGCAGCCGCTACCCCGCACACGCATGTGTGAAAAGTATTTGCAGAGTGCGCAGGGGAGGTGTTTCCTTTTTACAAATTGTCGCCATTTGCCGACTAAACGAAGACGATGTGGAGCAGCCAAGAGATCCTTGCCCTGCCATGGGTAAACAC